TGCAACTCAAGATTTTAAGAGATGATAGACTAACAATATGGCCTTCCTGAAGAACATCAGTGAACTTAAAGAATTACGAACTGAACGTTACTGGATCACAAACTCTTCCTCAGTCATCCAAAAATTCATTGAAACGATTCGATCTTCAAAATACTTGGCCAGCGATTGGCAGAGAGCACAGAACATAGAAGATTAGAGGAGGGTCGACTTGGCGTTTCTGGGATGCCAAGACAGGCAAGTCATGGGAAAAGAATACACCTAGCTGTAATACAAGAAACACATTTCCTTGGACCGCTAGGAACAGTGGCTTCTATCATGCAAGCAATGTAGAAAAAACGAATGTTATAAAAGTGGCGTTGCATTGGTAGCTAGTAGGAACGCAGAAGGAGCTCTCGCACAGTGGCAGGTAGCATCTGACAAGATCATAATAAAGGATCTCAAATCCAAGTACAAAAGAATTGTGCTTATGGTCGTTTGTTGTCATGCTACTGCTGAAGCTGCGACAAAGGCAGTAGGGGCAGAATTTGTTGCTGCAGCAGCGTCGTACCCATGACACTTTGATTGTTCTCGATGAGTTCAGTGTGAATGTGATGAAAATGAATAGACTAGTTAAGCAGGAGTGACTGTTCCATACAAGCCGCTTATTTTCCAATTTGATGCATCATCTGACGCTGCATGATAATACATCCGGATTCTATACGTGACAACAACCCATGCACATGTGTCCATTGTCCGTAATGTAAGTCACGTCAGCTGTTCATCGACTACCTGCTTGAACTTTGCCATGTGCTACTGTTAGATGCTGTGGAAGACTCAGTGGACAAGATGAACGGCAATGGCAGCGCTTCGAAAAAAACATGCGCAGGTCATTTCTTAATCTTTTTGTTTCCATGGTTTTTCTTCTATGACCGATTCACCATCAGACACTTTCGCCCGCCCGTAGATGCTAGTGACAGATGCACCAGGTTCATTATACCGGCGGCATGTACTGTAGAACTGATTAACAGGCACATTCTGTGCTTTCAGCGACTGACGTGTACCACTAGACTTCTGCGCTGGAGGCTTTGATCATTTTGCGATTACACATACTCATACCATGCTATGCCCATCTGGCTGGTTTCAGATGGTCTTAGCCCTTAGCCAACTGTCGCAACCGGATATAAATATTACAAAAGTGTCTAAATATTCTAGATTAACTGAAACGTTTTATAGGGCGAAGTGAAGCAGGAGCTGCCGTTGAATGACTTAGATGGAAGTCTGTTCAGCATGGACTACAATAACGGTTTCCTGTTGGTCACAACGAACACTGGCCACTTTCGTATTTACAAAACTGCAAATAAGTATGTTGTTGTTTTCTCATGGAAAGACGTTCCGGCTTACAAATTCGGAAGAAGAAATGCAATTCGAGAATTTGTCCAACAGATTTTGCTTATGAAGTAAAACGTAATGACTGATTTCGTTGTGGTGATCAGTTGCAGGATTAATTCAGAGTCATAAGTTGTCCTATGTTGTAAATATCAGTATGGGAATTTGGGCGGGTGTTTTCGACATCCCATATTTCGACCATCTAAATAATCTAAATAACATTAAAGGTGTTAATTTTCTTTAAGTTTCTTGATATTTTATTTTTTTTTGGGGGAGGGGGTTGGGGGATGGTCCGGAACAAGGTTATAAGAGATCAGTTTCGAACTCTGAAAGCGCCGGGATCAAGTAACGAAAAAGAAAAAAACTTCTGTTAATCTCGAATTTCTCTGTCATTTAATTCGCTCAATGATGCTTCATTATGTGTCGGTCCCAATTATCAATTTGGCACGATTATAGCGTCGATATCAGTTCCCTGAACTCCAACATGTAACTCCATATCACAATGGTAAGCGGTGCCAGTGGACTGGAAATACGGCCTTGTCACTTAAGCTGAGGGAAGGCGGTTCACCCCGCAAATTATGAATTCGCTCTCAGTAATTTATGTGTCATCATCTCGAATATCAGATATCGTTTCTACGGAAAGACGTCTAGGTAGTAGGACGAAGGCAAACATCTGAAAGTAGACTGGCCTTTCGCAGATTTCATTTCCTAGCATTCTCCCTTTAACACGGGTCTGCTAATTGAGTCAACCTCCTCCAATCTTTCTGTCGCTCGTTACAGCTTCAGACTTCTCGCAGTTTCATATCGTTTTTGGCGACATCGCGCCACCTTTTCTTTAGTCTTCCCCTTCTCTTCTTCCCCGGCAGTATCCCCCACGTACTCGATGGGTCTTCTTTTCACGTGACCAAACCAGCAGAACCTGATTTCGATTACTTTTTCTGAAATTGGTGCCTACCGAGTACAGCCGTTTCTCGTATCACTTCAGTTTAGCCAAACACTCTGGTCGGTAATGAGGCACCGGTTTTACTATCGTTCTGGACACCTTCCCTTTCAGCCTCACCTTCAAGGGTATCCTCTTGTAACACAGTACTCCGCTAACTTCTCCCGATTTGAGTCAAGTTTTTTTCGACAGATTCCTTAAATCACTGTCAATTTCCGTATATTCATGCAGCATGGAACCAGTATGGTTGGGTTCTTGGGTTTGAGGCAGCAAGCTCTCCGCTATTATCATTGGTTTGACGGGTTTCAACCTGTTTTCTTCACTGAAATAGTCCGCCATGTATTCTGACTTGATTTAATGAGTCGAAGTCCCTTCTTCTCAAGAGCTGTTCTCCATTCGTCGGTTTTTGCTTCTGTTGTCCCTGTGCTTCCGCTGCATAGCACAATATCATCTGCATGAAACACACAGTGTCGGGATTCTTCCTACAGATCCTCAGTTTCCGGGTCTGTCCCCGTCCAGATCAGATATGGGTTCATTGCAGATCCTTGGTGGATATCTGCCTGCACGGGGTACTCTTCCGTTTCGCCGCATGTACTTCGAACCATCGCGCAGATCTTTGGTAAGCCTGACATATTTCTAACACCAGCGTTTTTTCATGCTCCACCAGATCGCTTCCGTTAGGAATCGGTGAGAAGCTTTCTTCGGTTCTGGGAACACCCTACTTATGTCCTGTATGCCTTCTAAGCATGTTTCGATGGTTGATCGTAACGCGAAGACAGATAAAACCAAATTGGTTCCTGGTGAAGTCGATCTCCTTCCTCAGTCTTTTGTCCAGCACCCTGTCATATAGCTTCATGATGTGACTAAGGCGTTTAATTCCCCGGTAATTTTTATGCACAACTATGTTTCCTTTTATTTTGGGCACTGGCATTAAAATGCTCTGCCTCCATGATTCTGGCATTTTCTCACATTCATAATTTTGCTGAATGGAGAGCAGAGCCAAATATTGCCTTTCTGGCGAAGTACTTTAGATGCTTTTACGGAAACTCCGTCCAGGACATCGGCCTTTTATTTTTCATTCTACTCAAGGCTTGCTCCATTTCCTCCAGTGAGATCTTTCCGACTAAACTCTGGTTTTGTGGGATATCTTCCGCGTCTTCTCTAAGATATTCTTCGTTTAGTAGCATTCGGAAGCGCCTACGTCATCGGTTGCGAACATTTTTCTTATCGGTCAGCGCCATTCTGTTTTCCTCTTTTATGCACTTCACATTACCAAGGTCTCTTATTCTTCTTACTCTGGATTTTGCTATGCGATGGATGTTTTCATCCCCTTCTTTGTTGCCAGTTTTTCGTATGAGCTATTACACGCCACAGTCTTTGCTTCGGCGACGACTTTCTTTGCATCCCTTTATCTTCCACGCTGTTTGATAGCTACCCTTTCTTGAACAGCTCTTTCTTCTGCCATACGGTCGCCTGCATATCCGCATTCCACAACCGCGTTTTTTCTGGATACCTATTGTGCTTTTCATTGCTGCAACTAGACCTCTGGCATTTCCTATGATTATGAACATCTGCTCCGGTACTTCGTCCGCTTTCTTGTTCCAGTCCTTCGTCGTCATTTTTCTCGTAACTTCCATTTTGAACTCTTAATTCATCTTCGTTTCGAACTTCCACTATCTTATCTTTGGAGTTGTCACCGTAGCCACGTCTGAATGTCCGTGCGATAAATAGTTATGCTTCAGTACAAATAAGTAGTGTTCGTGAATGGTGTGCAATTGAATAAAGTGAGTAAGATCGAGTCTAGAAAGAGTGTTTTCGCTGAGAATCAGGTGGCACTTCATGAACCTGCAAAAAACACTGACTCTAGGGTGTAATGACGTGATAATGTCAAGTCGTCAGAGTTTACTAGAAACACAGCCATGTCGTCTGATGTGAGTTCTCCCTAAAGCTGTAATTCACACTGATCCACATACCAGCCAATTATTCAGTGTGATAATTAGCATAATTTGCTAATAGTGTTGTAGTTGGTGTCTATTATTAGTAATAATTTTCAAGACATTTGATCATTTTGCCCTTAAGTTGTCATTTTTGATTCAAAGAGTAGACGTTATTGCAAAAGCGATTTATCCATGCGTTCGTTAGGGATTAATACGCATTTATCCCTGGCTCAAATTCTTCTGACCGGATTTCTATTCCGAGATGTTTGTGACGAGCATATATCAATAAACTCTGCCATTATACGCCAGGATCATACGTTCAATGCTGTCACCGCTCTTTTACTACTCATGCCTCCTGTCAGATTTCTAGGCAGAATGACTCGACTGACAAACGGCAATAATAAGATGCACATGAAAATCGTTAATGTCGATTTCCGGTCCCGCATTTCCTCTGGTTATTAATTCTTTGAACCTTGGGCAATATGATAGTAATGCCAAATGCAAACGTTGTTTCAAATTTCAAACAGCATGATTATTTAGAGAAATAAAGTGTAAAAGCCAATCGAAGCTCATTAGCGAAAATGCCATGGAACCATTTAGTACTGTTGCAATCACCCGTTTGAACTCCGGAGGAAATCGCGTTTGCTTTTCTACGAATCAGGTAATATAAACTCAGATGTTTCAGAATGTCAGCAGTTTCTGAATTTTTGCAGACTAGTGACTTCCCAAGTTGTAACCTTTACGTCTGGGATGCTGAAACGGATGGCGTGTATTCTTATGATCTTCTACTAGCTGTTGAAACCGGGTATAACTTAATTTCATTCTTAACTCGATTTTAATTTACTAGTTTGGTTTTGTGCCGCCATTGCTGTTGTTTCATCACCGTCTAGTGAGGCCAACGCAGTTTGAACGACGCAGTAACCCAAATCTATGTCTGATTGTTAAAAACTGAAATTCAGATTCAAATTAGGCAATGATCATTGCAGTGGCAAAAATAATACCTATATTCGCAACTAGGTCTGCTCGAACAAGATGCTTTTACGTTTTGCTTTGTCTTCCGACTCCTCTGAGACTACTCCAAGTTTCCCAAGTAAGACAATTTTGAAAAAATAATTCAATCCAGACGGGTTGCTATGGATTTGTTTTCTACAATGCATTCTAACCTCTTTCCAAAAGTTACCCAGGGTTATCCAGAATTGTGGAAGTTTGCTAGACTCACGAGGCAAGCAGAATGGAACTTAGAAAAAGATTGCATTGAACTG